GAGAGAGAGAGAGAGATTGGGGGCGGGGCGGAAGGGGAGTGGGGGTTGAGAAAAGACCTTTTGGCCCATTGATCTGTATTTAATATGATGTCACTGGTATTCATAGGATATAAGGCAGCACATGAAAGATAGAAAACAAGAGTTGAACCAATGCTATTTGCACATAATGTTAATAAGTAGATGATTTGAAAATACAGACATACGACTACATAGGTATATGTGCCTACACACGAACATATCGGCATGGCTACATAAACACCTCGGGTATTCTTTGCTGAATGTGTTATCACATCGTCTTTATGGGTGGTATATGACGGGCAACAACTGGGTGCTAGGTAGGTGGACTCATGATAATAATGTAAGGTTAAGAGTATCGATCAAGACATATTTAGATCTCTCTCTCTCTCTCTCTCTCTCTCTCTCTCTCTCTCTCTCTCTCTCTCTCTGCGCGCGCGCGCGCGCGGGCAGTACAGATAGCGTTCCAGGTATTTAGATCCAACTGGCAAGATTTGCTCTCCATGTTTAATATGTTTCAGCATCTGAACAATGCGTAGCCGTAGCACTGGCACTTATGGTATAGCAGTCAGGCGCTTCCCTGTCGCACGCAGGATTCCCGAGTGGGGAGAATTTTAGCGAGCACCTCGGGTTTTCTGCTGGGATATAATATAGTATCCCTTTCAGCCCAGGTTGGTCTTTGCCTTTGCAGGCAGGTCTTAAGCCTGCCTCCTAACTTATCTAAATTGGGTCGATGGGAACGTAAACGCACTTCCATTAAAAAAAAACCCCAACAACAACAGAAAAACTGATGCTGCGTAATTGTAAAGATCGTACATAACACGATATACACGATCTTTAGTAACTGAACTCAAGATAATCTAGAGTTAAACACATCGATCAAAACAGACGTTTCCGTATTACATGGTTCAGAAATAATATGATTCCGTTTAAGTCATTACTTCATTCAGATCAAACGATAAAGTAATATTGAATTTGGACAGACATTTATTGCTTTCCAAATGTTTCGAGTCTAGCAAAGACCTACTCTCCATGTTTCAGCACCTGAACAATACACGGAGCTCGTTTTCAACGTATTTCTTATTGTACTGATGGAAAACTTTGTCGTCGATAACACCCAGACGGAGGAGATTATCTCTCAGTAATAAACTGAACGTTCTGAGAAGTGCCAGGATCCTTTTGTTTCTCTTCGTGCGGACGAAACTGAAATATGGAACAGGGCTTAAAGTAGGATAGCTCATGCTTATTATTAATTTATATTTCCGTCACTAAACGGAAGAATACTATGTTATTCTTATTTCAAAGTTAAGGTGTTTCCCCCTGGCTAAGATATTATTTGCAATACATGCATGAATTGACAAGAGCTTTGCAGAACGTAAAGAACACTTGCTCGGGAGAGACGGAGACAGAGAGAAAGAGAGGGAGAGAGAGAGAGAGAGAGAGAGAGAGAGAGAGAGAGAGAGAGAGAGAGAGGGTTGAAAGGGGCTGAGTTTCAATATAAGGGATAAATGACAGCAGAGAAGAGAAGGACAGCTGTGAGGAAGGAACTATGGTAAGCCTATCGAGGGAACCCTCAATTTTCTCTTCTGTTTTCTGTTTGTTATAGTAGAGGTTTTTACCGCGCTCACAAATGCATAAGGTCATATGAGTGCCAAGGGGTGGCTGTCAACAGAGAAGTCCTTACAAGGAATCAGACTTACTCTGCCGACTTCTCTAGCTTCAACAGCACAAAGTCTGCTTCTACTATCAAGGCACCACAGAAATAGCGGGTCACAAGAGTGTGACAAACATACAAAAGAAGTAGAGGAGAAACGACTATAGTAAGGATTAGGAAAGAAAAAGCAGCAGTTCCCTGTTGCAGTTCAGGCACAGTTATGAGCATGACATTGATGAATCAGCACATTTCTATTACAATTCTACTGTGCATAAGAACTCGAGATGTTAATGCCCCCCCCCCCCTGGGAATGGCCTAAAGACACTTTAGTCAGTAGCACCGCCCCAGGGGTAGAATTTTCCCTCATGAGACTAAACAAAGGAGAAGGCTACGAAAAGGGATTTATTAAAAACAGAAATCACTTAAAGTTCAGTACAAGCATAAAGTAAACAAGTTCAAGAATTAAGAATACCTTTGTCTACTACGAGGGAGTGGGGTCTGTCCAATTCCCCATCAATAATTCTCTTCGCTTTTGTCAAGGCAGAATTTACTTCAAATGATGGCTGCACTGGAGATATACTGAACACGAGCATGTGCATGCATGAAATTAGTAAATAATATACGAAAAGAGAAACGAATATACGAGTTAATAGCAAGACTATGCTGAACTTTATTAGAAAAAGATCAACGGACAAAAATATAATAATATGTAAAAAATAAAGAGCTGTAAACCATATTTCCAAGAAGAAAACAAATACCGTACATGGATTTGTTACTGCCCGTGGGTACTGAGGCTTCACTTATTTAACATTGTTTTGAAGAGTAATTTACTGTCTAAATGTTCGTTTTTCTTCTGTTTCTTGCTACTCCCCAGGGAACCTTCAGCATACTAACATCCCTTCAATGGTCGCATTAAAGACATTGTAGTCGAGATAGTCAGTAGTTTCTTACAGAGCCCAATGTATGAATAAGTCGCCCCTTAGAATCAAAATTTACTTTTCAGTAAATCTGGGGGTCGAAACAAAACCCCCCAAAAATTGTAGGGGTTCTTCTTTGAAGGGGTAAAGAAGAGATGGGTTTGTTTGTTTGTTTGTTTTGTTGCTGTTGTTTTGTTTTGTGTGTGTGGGGGGGGGGGGGGGGGGGGCGCACATCTTAGATGTTCAATCACCTCCCACAAAGTTAACAAGACCACAGTAATGCACATCAGAGTAAAAATGGTTCATCAACTGGGCCTAAGCCCTAGTGCAGGATCATTTGTAGCCAAACAGGATACTGACTTCTCACAGCCTCTTTCGTTTTTATTCATTTTGACAATAGGTCCCTACACCACGAAAACATTGCTGACAACGTCTTTTCCCCCCATGTCAATGTAGCAATTAAGAGATCGTGCCACACTCTTTTCTTCTTAGAATCTTTCGACTTTCTGCCCATCTTTTTTTGCATCTGTTATACACACCTTGCCATACGTGTTTGTCAACTTATCAATCATGCCTACTTACCTGAATGGTTCAGGGCTGACTGGGCAGGGTATGCTGTTGTATGTCAGGATGGGAATTTCCACAAAGCACAAGAAAAAGGGATAAATTCTTCTGCGAAAAGACAAGTAAAATAATAGAAAGTGCTGAATTTAGGCGTGTGCATGTGTGTGTGTTGGGGGGG